CGGCTCCCCTGCTCGACCCCGGGCTCGGAGCTCCGGCGCTTCCCGGGCCGCCGCGGCGGGATGCGCGTGCCCGGCGCCCGCCGCCTGCTCCTGCTCTCCGCCTGCCTAGGGCTCTGCGGGGCGCTCGGAGGTACGCGCCCCGACTTCCTTCCCCCACCTGCTGGGCCCGCGGACCCCCGGGGCGCGCTGTGTCCCCAGCGACCGCAACGTGCACCCGAGGCCCGGCCCTCGCGAGCGGGGAGGCGGGAGGAGACCGCCAGGCCTTGCGCCGTGGCTTCGGCCGGCGGCAGAAAACTTAACAGCGGCCGCCGGCTCGGCGAGGTCGGCGGGGGACGAGGGGCCCCGGTTGCACCCCGAGGAGCGGGACGAGAGGTCCTGGCCGCCCTCCTCGCTGATCTTTTTAGATCCACCCTAGCTTAGAGGGGCGGGAGGGTTATTCAGCTGCACGCGGTGCCCGAGTGCGGGGGGGGGGCCTGGAACTCGTTGCTGAAATTCTTGGGTCACAGACTCAGTGTCCTCCAAGTCCCTCCACTGAGGAGCTTAATGTTTCTGAACTCAATAAGTAGAACTGCTTCATATTTCTGTGGTGGTTTTCAGACTCTAAAGATTCCTGTTAAGAACTACTTAAACTTTGTGCATGATAAATTCTCTGTATTTGCACCTTCCAGCCCTTAAGAGGCTTTGAAAATGCATTCATATATAAGTAGAACAGTGTGAGAGAGAGAGAGAGAGAGAGAGAGAGAGAGAGAGAGAGAGAGAACGAAAGCAAACACATTCTACATAAAAGGTCTTGAATCTCTCTAGTATGTAGACTACATTTTATTTCATTTTAAGCATAGCCACATAGCGTCATCACCGCTTACCCTTGCTTGGTGGTTTCATTGCTTTAGAGGGTTGTTCCAGCAATGTCCCCGTCCCTGGTGGAAAACCCCTGACCCTTCTTTTTTGAGGGTGAGGAGGGGGTTGATTTGGTCCCCATCTCCGCAGGCTCCTCTCCGGTTGCATTGCCTTGGCCTCTTCCTGCTGGCTTCTGAGCACGCAGTGGCGTGGGTGAGGGATTTGAGGCCTGTGACTGGGCTTTGACACGGAACAAGGAACGTGTGAGCTGCAGGCCAGGGAGGTTGCAGGGGTCCGTAAAGGGGTCCGGGGACCGACCCTCCCCTGAGCTTGAGCAGGGGTATAAGAAGCCCGTAGTTCTAGAGTCAGATATACTAGGGTTCCAGCTCTAGTGCTCTCTTATGTTCTCAGAGTGACTTTGACCAAGTACCTTTAATTATTTGGGTCTTAATTTTGCCCTTTGTAGAAATGAAGTGATAGCAGTGTTTTCAGAGAGGATCGGGTAAAATACAGACGATCATGTAGCAGCCGGAACATACTCAATAAATGCTTATTTTGGTCATTTCCCACTCGTTATCCTCCATTGCCCTGCTTCTTTGCCCTTAGTCTGGGTAACCCATTTGGGTTAGAGAATGTGAGCGAGGAACTTCACCGAGTGAGGAATTCCGCGGCAATCCTGTGACACGTGCTCTTCATCCTTGGTTCTGATTACCCGGCAAATACTGTATACAAAAAAGTCTTACGAAATTCCTGCTTTGGGCATTTAGAAGACTGTTTTCTTGCGTAGCCAGCCAGTGTGTGATGTGACTTTGGTTTTCTGCTTTTCTCTTCTTGAGGAACTCAGGGGACTTGAAGAATCTAACTGTCTGAGACTTAGATGAGCTTTGCTCTCAGTTCTTAAAGTACTGGGGGTGGTGACAACCTCAGCATGGCAAGTCCTACAGTGAAGCTACCTTTGTCTAGCAAAACGATACTGTCTTAGTAAAAATATCTGTCATATACCCTAGTGTGTTTCTGTTTGTAAATCAGTACTACTGTCCCTAGCCACTTTCTCAATACTAATTATAAACTACTAGATCTCCATTATTCATAACATAATAATTTCTCATTTTGACTATCTTCTTGCCAGATTTCATTAGTACATTACATCTTTTGCCTTGTGGGACAGCCGGACCAAATGGTAGGTCTAATTTAGTTCTTTGAGGAACCTCCATACGGTTCTCCTCAACAATTGCACTAGTTTACAACTCTACTATCAGTGTATGAAAGCGTCTTCTTTCTCCATGTCCTTGGCAGTATTTGTTAGTCGTTGATGCAGCCGTGTTTTGCTGGAGTGATATGATATCACATTATAGTTTTCATTTGCATTTCTTGGATGACTAATGATGCTGAGCGTTTTTTTTTTTTTCATATTGTTGGCCCTTTGTATTTCTTCTTTTCTTCCGTATTTTAGGGAAGGGTCTGCAGGGTGTTCAGAGTCTCACTACAGAACAAGGAAAGTGTGAGCTCAGGCCAGGGAGGTTGCAGGGGTCCGTAAAGGGGACCGGGGACTGACCCTCTGCTGAGGCTGAGCAGGGGTATAAGAAGCCCGTAGTTCTAGAGTCAGACATACTAGGGTTTCAGCTCTAGTGCTCTCTTATGTTCTCGGAGTGACTTTGACCAAGTACCTTTAATTATTTGGGTCTTAATTTTGCCCTTTGTAGAAATGAAGTGATAGCAGTGTTTATTTTCTTTAAACAATTAAAAAAAACCCTAAAGATAGGCAAGATACTTTCAGACTATCATATTGGACTCGTAGTGATCCGCCTGTAAAGGGGACCCCTTTACGGACCCCTGCAACCTTCCTGGCCTGCAGCTCACACGTTCCTTGTTCTGTAGTGAGACCCTGAACACCCTGCAGACCCTTCCCTAAAATACAGAAGAAAAGAAGAAATACAAATGGCCAACAATATGATAGTCTGAAAGTCAGATAGTAATATGGACTGATAGTAAACATCGGACTCCTAGTGATCCGCCTGTTTACAGCCTCCCAAGAGCTGGGATTACAGGCGCGTGCCAGCACGCCCAGTCTCAATTGCCTCTCAGCGCGCCCCCAGGGGTGGGGCCAGCACAGAAGGCCTGGGGATCGAACCTCCAGCCCCTGCACCTGCTTGCAGTCACTTTAATCTGCTGAGCTATGTGGCCAGCCTGTGTATTTCTTCTTTAGAGAAGATTCTATTCAGATAATTTGCCTGTTTTTGATTCAGTTACTTCTTTCTTTGTTAAGTTAGAGTTCCTTCTATACTTTGGCTTTTTAATCCTTTGCTGGATGAATAATTGGCAAGTATTTTCCCTGTTCTGTACATTGTCTCTTCACTGTTGTTTTCTTTGCTGTCCAAAGGCTGTTTAATTTGATGCAATTGCATTTGTCTTAATTTTGCTTTTGTCTTATCTGTGCTTTTGAGTCATATCTAAAATGTTATTACCCATATTACTAGCTGAAAGTATCTTGCCTATCTTTAGGGTTTTTTTTTTTTTATTGTTTAAAGAAAATAAAGGGCTGGGGAGATAGTTCAGCAGTCTAAATGCCTGTCTGGCAAGTGCAAGGACCTGAGTTCGATCCCCAGCACTGTATGCCATGCTGGCCCTGGAACCAGGTGTGGTGGTGCATGCCTATAATCCTAGCCTTGGGGAGGCTGAGACAGGAGGATCACTACCAGGCTGAACCACACAGTGAGACCCTGTATCAAAATAAATAAATAATTTTTAAAAATAGTAAAAAAAAAAAAAAGATGATATGGAATTTCGCTAAACAAAATAATAGGAGCTTCAACAATGGTTGTTATATTGTATATTATCTTCCATTAATTGTTCACATTGCCACATATAATAAGCATGCAACACTGGTCAAAGAGTTATAAAAAATCAAAAGGGAGAGAGAAAAAAAAGTAAAATATTAACTGCTTTTTTCAATAAGCCAGCAGAAATCAGCCTATCTTTTCTTATTGAGGTTCTAGAGTTTCAGGTTTGCATATAGGTCTTTTACCATTTTGTGTTTATTTTGGTGTAGGGTGAGAGACAGGGGTCACGTTTCACTTTCTGCCTGGATATGGGCAGTTTTCCTGGCACCACTTATTGGAGACTTTCCTTTCTGCAAATACTTTTGTTGTTGTTCCCTTGTCAACAATCACTTGACTGCAGATGCTGGGCTTATTTTAAGGCCTATATCCTATTCTATTGATCTGTATGTCTATTTTGATGCCAGTACCATGCTGGTTTAGTTACTATGACTCTGTAGTATGCCTTAAAATTGCGCATTGTGATGATTCCAGCTTTGTTATTTTTGTCCAAAATTGCTTTGACTATTTATGGTCTTTCATCTTCATATGAGATTTCTGGATTTCTTTCCTACTTAAGGATATCATTGGTAGTTTGGTGGATATTACGCTGAATATGTAAATTACTTTGGGTAGTGTGGATGTTATCATAATATGAATTATTCTAATCCAGGAACACAGGAAGAACATTTTTTGATATTTCCTTTATTTACTCATTTTATTATTTTTTATTATGAAGATCTTTCACTTCTTTGGTTAAATTTGTTCCTAGGTATTTTATCTTATTTGTAGCTATTTTGAATAGCATTGCTTTCATGATTACTTTCTCAGCAAATTTGTTTATCAGTCTATAAAAATGTGATTATTTAATTTTTTATCAGTACACATTTGCATTACATAATGATTATATTCATTGCAGGGAGTAGGTCGGTTTAATTTGATATAATAAATGTTTTCTTGCTCCCTACTTACTTTAGGTCAGATTCTTTAGAGAGAGCCTGAGACAGGGATTCCAGTGTGAGAGAATCACTAAGTGATTTCTCCCAGGAGAGAATTTAAGAAAGGAAGGGAAGCCGGATGGGGCAGGAGAAGCCACGCACGATCTGGTTTCGGCAGAGGTCATCTCAGCCTGATCCCAGGTCGGGCTCTGGAGCGTGAGTGGCGACACTGGGCTTCATTTCAGTAAGCAACTGGCTGTGAGTTTCCAGCCAGGTAAAGGTGTGAGTTCCCTGGAGCTTCTGTATACTGCTCAGGTATAGCCATTCCAGCATCCTGGGAGGATGCCAGCAGGGCATATCACACCACTTGTGGGCCAGGCTCTGTAGTAAAGAAGTGAAGCTACAAAAGATTGGCCCCTGGTCGTAGGAGCTCGTGGAATAGTGTAGATAGATGATGGCTACTCCTAGGAAGAGCTGTAGTGCAGCAGGAGCCCATTTTTTGTATCCCTGAGAGGAAGCCAAGTTGTTCATGAACCAAGCTCAGGTGTTTTGTTCTTCATCAGCTGACAATAAAGGACCCTTATGCAGACATACATGTAAGCTGAGGGGTGGGTTCTGGTACAAGCACGGTAAACAACAGGAGGTTGGGGCTACCATCTCATAGGGCTCCTTATGCCTTCTGGTCCTCTGTGTGTTCAGTGGAGGGCATGACACTTGCATCCTTTAGTCTCTTCTTCCTCCATCCGCTGTGACCGTTCTGCCATTGCGGTCTCACTTATAAGGGCTGTTGAACTTTCTGTGTTTCTAGAAGCCGCCTTAGCAGTGAGGTTAGACTATTTTCAGGGGTCTTTGCCAGAGTGTGATGTCCTATATCTTGAGGGGTGCCCCCAAACCTAGAAATTCTCCCCTGTTCACCGGCTGCTCCAGTCAGGCTTCTTCAGCCCCCTGAGTATTCTACCAACTCTTCGCTGTACATTCTGGGCAGGTCCTGCAGGTCCTTTAGCATCCGGGTCACTTCTCCGTATCAAACCCAACATGTCCTCGCAAAGGTTACGTTGTGACTTAGCCCTTATTTTTGGTCTAGAAGTCTGAGGGGAGAGATGGGGTCATATATGCAGAGGTCAGATGTCATCTTGTGGAAGGAAGGTTCTGTGGCTTCTTTAGGCCAGGGCAGAGTGGCTGTCCTTCATAGGGGAATGAGGCACTTCTTCAGGGCCAGAGGGCGCAAGGGGTCTAGGGACTCAGGGGGAGCACGTGCATCAGCCTGTACCTGCCCATTCTCTGCAGCAGGGTCTCATCCCTCCCAACAAGGGCCTGGCCTGGTGAGAGCAAGCCTGTCTTATTTGGGACTTTGTCGCTTGACTACCCTGAATCCTAATTCCTGGATCGGAGTCTTAGTTTCCTTTTCCTTTGTGCCCTAGGGACTTTGCACTTCACCGTGGAGACCTTCTGGATTTCACACTTAGCTTGCAATTGCTAATTTCTTCTAGCTTTCCTCTGTGTCTTCCCAGAGCTTCAGACAACCAAAGTCCCTTGTTGTCGTAGTTGTTTCTGCCCAGCTTTCCTTAGCTCGATCAGTACGTTTGTCTGGCATACTCACACGTGGCGGCTCACTATCCCTGATCCACCTCTCATCAGTGATGGGCTCCGAATTGCTGTCTTGGTGCTAAGTGGCTCGGCTTCCACCCTGTTCTAGTGACTGCTTTCTCAGGCCATGTCCAGTGTCAGTCATCACAGGTTAGGGTCCTAGAGTGCTAGAGCCTGAGATGGATCCTGTTGGAAGCAAGAATGCAATTGCTTTAGACAGAGAAGTTGAGTTGCAATTCAGTCTTGGTGGAAGCGTTGGCCACCACTCCTCCTGAGGGCTCAGCAGAAGGAATAACCCATAGAGATGTCTAAGTTGGGCCAGAGGACGCTGAACCTATATATACCTGTGTTGAGCCTGTGGGTCACCCTGGGGAGCACACATGGCCTTGGGCAAGGCAGCTGTCTTCAGCAGGATCCGTTCCTGAAAGGGGATGATGCTATAAAGTGAAATGCCACTGTGTAATCCATGTGCTAACTTATGCTTTTTTTTTTTTTCTCCTTTAGCATCCTTTTACGGTGAAAGCTATGTGGAGCTCAACAACATAGAAGTTTCCTCTGAACTATCGCTTCAATTAAAATTTCAAACCAGCAAATCACAGGGGTTGCTTTTTCTTGCAGCTGGGAAAAATGACTATTGCATAGTAGAACTTCAATCAGGAAACTTATGGGTATGGTTTTAAAAAAATCTTTAAAAATACATATGTGTTCAATTGCTGGGGAGAAAAAAAAAAACAAGAGAGAAAAAGGGAAAATCGTTATACATGTTGATTATTCTAGTGTTACCTCACTCGAATAAAGTTATGGGCCATTTGTCCTGGCCAGGATCTTGTCCATTTATGCCAGTGTGTCTTGGATGGTCTGAGCCCAAAGTTTCCTTACTTCAATATAAAATCCATAAGTGTACTAAGCATTTTCATGCCCATTTCTCTCTTTTTCTCTCTATGTATGTGCCTGTTGGTGTGTTGGGGTGGAGTGGGCAGTCTTGGTCCAAAAAATGCCCGTGGTTCTGACTCATAGTTCATCAGTTTCAAGAACGTGGTGCCGGTGTCTGCTCCCCTTCAGGTGAGAGCCATGTGAGGAAAGGAATCACATGATGAGAGAGAGAGGAAGTCAGGGAGGCTCAGCTTGCTGTATAACCACGCATTCAGATGACCTTGCAGTCCTCACAGCCTGTTACTGGATTAACTGATCGAGTCCCACAGAGTGAGACTGTACCCGCTTAAGAAAAGCACTGGGCCGGCCAGATAGCTTAGCAGACTAAAGCGCCTGCTTAGACACAGCGCAATGGCCGGGGTTTGATCCCTGGTGTGCTGTGCCGGCCTGGCCCGCAGGGCGCTCTGAGATGCATTTGAGACTGGGCGTGGTGGCGCGCGCCTGTAATCCCTGTGCTTGGGAGGCTGAAAACAGAATCACTACAAGTCCAATCTACGTAGTGAGACCCTGTAGACCCTGTACTAAATGCAGAAAGAAAGAAAGAAAGAAAGAAAGAAAGAAAGAAAGAAAGAAAGAAAGCAAAGCAAAGCACTGATGCTCCCAGTGACCCAGTCACCTTTTAAAGGACCAGCACCTCTCAACACCGTGGCACTGGGGACCAAGACCCAAGAGGAGGATCGGTGGGGTAAAAGCAACCGTATTCAGACCACACCAGCCTCATTTCTTCAGTAAAACCCAGTAGCATGAGAAATGAGTTATATGTGCTTCATTATCATTCTTTCTCTTTCAGGCGAGAGTGAATTTGGGCGCAGGCGAGCAGGTGCTCGTCCCTGCGCGAAGCCTCCCTGTGGATGACTTGGTCTGGCATTTGGTGGAACTGTATCGTATTAAGGAGAAAGTTTTCTTGGTTATTGACAACCATGAGACCAGTGGCCAAGTGGCCGGGGGGGTGCATAATTTTAGCTTTCAACACGGAATCTACATAGGAGGCCATGGGGGACTCAGCATCCCTTACCTAGATGGAAGGGTCCCCAACTTCCGAGGATGTATGGAAGATGTGGTATTTAACCACAAGGAGATCCTCCCGTCCCTTAGATCTTACCCTGGTTTTAAGCAAGTGCACGAGGTGTCGCTAGGATGCAGTGAAGAGTTTTTCACAGGGGAGGATGAAGCCATCAATTTCTTTAGCTCTCGGTCCTATGTCACCTTCCCAGAATGGAAGGTGCAAGGGGGAGGGGTGTTGGAATTTGCTTTGCAAACTGGAGCTCAGCAAGCCTTGATCTTATTTCAGTCAGGGAAGGATGGAGATTTTGTTGCCTTGGAAATACACGAGGGTCGGTTGAAGGCCCAAGTGGGAAGGAATAAAAGCAAAACGGAGCTTTCTTCTTTTATCTTCATTAGTGACACCACATGGCATGCTGTTCAACTCCAGGTCACCGGAGGCCATTTGGGCCTCGTGGTGGATGAGCAAGCGGTAAGGACACTGCTGCCTTTGCAAAGTAAGCCGTTGATATCACAAGGCCCCCTTTTTGTAGGAGGTCTCGATAACCAAATACGGGAAGAAGTGAAGATGTTGGGCCTTGCCTCTGTGCCTAGGAAATCTCCCCGAGGAATCTCTTTGAAAGGCTGCTTACAAGGCTTGGAAGCAAACTCACAAAAGAGAGCCTTGCGGGAGGCCTTGGCTTCCAAAGATATTTCTGCTGGGTGCAACTCCAAGAGCACTGGTAACACAAATCTGTCGGTTACAACATTGACAAATCCGCCTCGGTCAGAGGCTTTCTATTCCACCACAGTCCCCGGTGCCGTCAAGTCCTTTCTTCAAGAACCAAGTAGCTCCTTTCTGGTTTTGAATAGCTTAGAGGTTCAAGAAGGTGGACGAGCCCAGCTAGAACAAAAGCATGTGCAGGTAAATATGGAATTTAAGGATTTGGTTTTCAATTATTCTCAACTGCTGTTTAAAATAGAGGAATCGCCTCTTCATGGGCTCCTTCAACTAGATGTTTCATCTGAGCAAGAGGTGGCAAAGATGTTTACTATGTTAGATGTGTGGCAGGGAAAAGTGTGGTACGTCCATGGGGGTGCAGAAGAATACACAGATTCCTTCACATTTCTGTTGTCTTCTAATAGCAAGAAGGAAATGCCGTTCTCTCTGCAGGACCATGAACCATTCATGTTCAACATCAGTGTCATTCCGGTGAATGACCCGCCTCATCTTAGACTCCCAAATGGAAACATGCTTCTTGTGTTGGAGAATGCTAAGAAACGGCTGACCCCGAGTATAGTACAGGTGTCAGACCCAGACACAGATGCTTTGAGTCTTAGTTTTTCGGTTCTTGGCAACTTCGATTCAGATGCTGGGTTTTTAGAAAATGTCAATGACCCTGGGAGAGCCATTAATGGCTTTCAATACCGAGATTTAAGAGATGGCAACATTTTCTTTGTGCACCATGGGCCTCGAAACTCTCGAATTATCCTGAGAGCCAGTGATGGCAGGCTGGCTAGCAATACAGTGGTGTTACGGGTCCTGGCCGTTCCGTGGGACTTCAAGGTGGCCAATAGGACGGGTGTGGTTGTGCAGCAGGGTGGCACTGTTCTGATTACGCAGAGTAACCTGTCAGTGGAAGTTAGTGGTGACCATCGTGAGCTGGAGACTCACTACGACATCACTCAGCTGCCACAGTTTGGCCAGATCCAGCGCTGGGGGTCACGTGGGGAGTGGAAACAAGTGAGCAGCTTTTCTCAGCGTTCCATCAATAAGAATCGGATCCGCTACTACAGTACATTTGAAGAACTACAGCAGAAAAATGTTACGGATCATTTTAAATTTAGAGTTAACGTTGAAGGAAAAGTCAGCAAAGAGCTTGTGTTCCCTGTGACTGTCCAATGGCTAAAATTTATACTTGTGAAAAACATCCCTCTCGAGATCAGTACCATGAACAAAGCAGTATTGAGTTCTGATCATTTACAGGCTGCGACAGAGGGTGTGGACGTAGCCGAGAGGGAAATACATTTTAAGTTACTGACTCCACCTAAGAAAGGAAAATTGCTGCTTGACAATGAAGTTCTAAAAACAAACTCAATCTTCAGCCAAAAAAATATCACAGACACTCAGATAAGTTATGAACCTCAGCAGAGGCCGAAGGAAGACTCGCAGGATACTTTTAGATTTTTAATTGTTGCAAAACACATAGAATCAAAAGATTATAGTTTCAGAATACTCTTGAAAGCACATGAGACAGGCATTATTCTAACAAACAGAGGGTTGATTGTAAAGGAAGGAGAAGGGAAATTGATTACAAAATCAGAATTATTTATTCAAACCTGGGAAAATCAGATCTTCCGCTATCAAGTCACCAAGAGTCCTCAGCATGGGAGGCTGACACTGATGGGTTTCTCAGACACCCTGGAAAGTAACGGCAGCATCACCACATTCACTGATGAGGACATCGTGGGTGAGCGGCTAATGTACATTCACGATGACTCGGAGACCCGGAACGATGAGTTCTTTGTTGTGCCGTCTCTAGGCCAGGAGGGAGAGGTCAGGGATCCTGACGTGCAGCATTTACCTTCAGAAATCAAAGTCAACATTTCTGTTGAGTTAAGAAATGATGAACGGCCGGTACGTATGGTAGACAAGGTATTTCATGTTGTGCGGAACAGCCAGCGCTTACTGACCCTGGCAGATCTCTACTACCATGACCCTGACGTCGATTTTGATGATGGGCAGCTGCTGTACACCCGGCGGGGCATCCCAAATGGGGACTTGGTGCGCGCTGGCAACCCCACTGAACAACTCTACCAGTTCACACAAGAAGACCTACGCGAAGGACGCGTACTCTTCAGACATCAGGGTGCGGACTCTGCCCGCTTTGTGCTGTTTGTGACAGATGGTGTTCATTACACTCCCTCCCTACTTGAGGTCGCCATATCAGACCCCTATGTTCAGATAGAAAACAACACAGGGCTTCTGGTACAGAGAGGGATGGACAGCCTCCTCACAGCAGCAAACCTGAGTGTTTCTACCAACCAAGACATCAGAACGGATCTTGAGGTTGAATTCCTAATCACGAGGCCCCCGAAGCATGGCACGATCCTGGTGAACAATTCTACATCCTTATCATTTTCCCAACATGACTTGAAGCAAGGACGTGTGACTTACAGACACAATGGCAGTGGCCACGCTGACATATTCAACTTGACGGTGAAAGTTAAAGATGCACACCTAGAAGTGGGGGTGTGTGTTCAAGTCGAGATGGAGGATCGCCACCATTGGGGTGAAGTTGGGCACAGAAGGATCCTGGTAGTTGAAGAAGGAAAACCAGTAAAACTGAGCAGAGGAAAGTTGCAGGTAAGTGTTGCTGTAAGCACCCAGCAATCTTATTTTCTTAGAGTCACAGGAGATGATAATGTATTTGGTTGCTTCTGAAAGATTTCTTTGGATTGATTTCTGCTGGTATGAAGTAACTTTTAAGAAGTATTTGGATTGGGCCGAGGATATAGCTCAGTAGTGATAATACCAATTTTCCTGTAGTTGGAGATGGCATATGAGCACTGTTCAGCCTTATTTTCAAGCTGTGTTCATTATGCGCTTGTTGGAATGTGTATTTGGTATTGTACTTTGAACTAGGAACAAGGAAGGGAAACATATTATAGAAAAGTATGGGATTTTTACTTCTATTCCTTATTTACAGTCTCACTGCCAATATTTTACTTGTTTTGAGTTATATTCGTGGTGAGATGAAGCAATAATTTAATAAACATAAAAAGGATTTCTGAGCCAGCAGAAGAGGCTGTATATCACAGCTTATTTCCTTAGCTCTGAATGTATCTTTCTTTGGTCTCCTGAAATTTGATAGACCGTGGGATACCAGGAGTGAGGTCAGAGCGGCTAGCTTCCCCCGGTTTCTGCTTGGAAACTTCCAGCAGGCCAGACTTAGGGGGGTTGTGCTGTCTAGAGTCATCCTGTGCAGGGTTTGGGGCAGGTAAGCCGTGGTGATGACAGCTGGCCGCAAACACAGGCTGCTCTGAGTCTAAACTTCAGGACTGTGGACTCGTACCAAATGCATCCGAGAGCTGATGGGGAATGTGGGCGCTTCACCACAAGGGGGCGCGTGCACCTCAGTGTAAATCAGTGGCAGTCCCTGTTGGGAGACAGGTTCTGCTGAATCAGTAAATTAAAACTGTGTGTGGAAAATGCTGAGCTGGTTGAAATGGGTGAAAAATAAAATATTTCCTCTAAGTCCTTACAGTTTCAGCGATTCAACTGCGGTTTCTTTTACGACCTTTTCTCTCTCTTAGTCACAATTCATTTCTTTCATCTAAACTTTCTGAGTTCTGGCATTTTTTGTTATTGCATATGATGCCTTGTTAATGTGTTTGTAGCTGCCGATGTGTTGTTGGCCATTGTGTTTCTGTGTCACTGAGGCTGACATTGAAAATATTGCCGCGGACACCAGCTCAGACCTCGGGCTAAGCGGTGCATCAAGTGCGATTGTAATTCAAGCCCTTTGTGGGCATTAGTAAAAAACAACTTGGTTTACAGTAGTGTTGGCTCTTATATTGCTGTGTGTGCTTTTCTTTTTGTGTCTGTGTGTTGTGCGCATGAACTCGAGGCTGGAAGCGAGCACGGTATTCCTCCGGAGGCAGCGTTCAGAGTCAGAGCTCCCCCAGCGCATGGATACCTCCAAAGGTCTGTTCCAGAGGAAGGCAGCTTGAGTTCCGACGAGAAGTTCCCTTTGAGTTTTACGCAACAGGATGTTGATGATGGCAACATCCTTTATGTGCAGACGGCTCCTGCCCAAAGACAGGACCGGTTTTTCCTAGATGTGGTGGATGGCTCCCAAGTGGTGAGCGAAGTGGAGATCGTGCTGGACATTGTCCCTAAGTTGATTCCTCTGGAGGTTCAGAATTTGACGGTTCGAGAAGGTGGTTCCGCAGCACTTCTGGAAGAGCACCTCAAAATTCCAAGCAAATATTTTGAAGGACTTGACTGTGAATTTGTTCTTCTTGAACCACCAAAGCATGGTCATGTGGAAAACATTCATGTTCCAGGAGTAAAGCTAATGAAATTTACTAGGAAACAGGTAGTAACTCTGCTAATATTTGGGTAGGTTGGGTAAAGATAAAAAATTGATATTCATCATTTAGACCCGTGGAGGATGGGGCCTACGGATATTTAGTCTGACCTCCCATCAGACGCTGGAAGCCTTTTTTTAAAATCATTTTTTATTTGGTACAGTGTCCCACTATACAGCTTGGACTCCTAGTGACCCTACTGTCTCAGTCTCCCCTGCACTGGGATTACAGGCGTACACCACCATGCCCGGCTTCAGTGGCCATCGCTGTGTGCCTGCAGCTTGGGGGATGGCATGGCACACATACCAGGGATTGAACTTGAGTCCTTGCATTTGCCAGCCAGGCACTTAGACTGCCGAGCTATCTCCCCAGCCCTGGAAGCCTTTTCATAGTGTCCACATAGTGTGTCCAACTATTGCTCATGTCTCTTCAGTGATAGGAAAATTACTACTTCAGGAGATGGGCCCTTCTGGTTTACAAACATGCAACTGGGAATTCTTTAGGTGGAACTGAAATCTGTCGCTTAGAAACCTCCAGGCTTTCACTCTGTTGTCCCACAGAATAGATCATATCCTCTTTGTAAGGACTCTTTAAGTATTTGAAAGAGGAAATTATCAAATTCCCCTGAACTTGATCTTACTTAGGTTAAATGCTGCTCATCATCTATCTTCTTCTTCTGGGCCATGAGTTTTGTGCTCCACCCTACCTATCTAATTCTGCCTAATTCTAGATGAATCCCACATTGCCCCTGACCTAGTGATGTCGGGGTAACACCCAGATATTTAATCATTTGTGAATATTTTTATTCATTCATTTCCTCCTTTACCCATCACACCCTTACAAAGAGCATACTCTGCCCTGCGTATGCTAAGCGTAGGGCTATCAGTGTTCAGAATGACCCAGTCCTTGGAATCTGGGAGCTAGACACAAGTGCCAGTGTGGTATGCAGTTGTCATAAAAAACCAAGGCCAGGTGGGGAGACAGCTCATTGGTCTGCAAGCCCCTGCCTGGCAAGCACAAGGACCCAAGTTCAATCCCCAGTACTGCATGCTGTGCTGGCTCCCAAACAAGGTGTAGTGGTACGTGCCTGTTATTCCAGTGCTGGGGAGGCTGAGACTGGAGGATCACTAGAAGTTTGAGCTGCATAATGAGACCCTGTATTAAATAAATAAATAAATAGATAAAACCCAAGGCTGACTATAGGTTGCTATTGCTTTGGACTAGAACAGTATTATTGTCAGACTTTGCTTTTTCATCATGAACAAAAGAATTCTTTCCAATACTTTTTAAATTTTGAAAAGTAGCTTGTGGGTTGCTATCATTTTCTTTATAATCCTTTATTGATATACACCCTTCAGATTGGAAGCTGTTAATAATCACTATTTTGAGGTGTCTTTGTCTAGTCAGTTGAGAACACATATGTGCTGCTTAATTATACTTTTAAGATTTCTGGTTTGAGTCACTTCACTAGAGGTTACTCTCCTTGAGTTGCTGGGTGGAGTTACCATGCTGGGTGAAGCATATGCCTCGTCCTCTGGAAATGCGGTGGAGGAACCAGGCGCAGCACCTGGAATGTGAGGTGCTCTCTTCTTGCCTCCTGCTTTGCATTTTCATAATAGTGCTACAGGAGAATACAACTGGCTCCTCTGATTCAATTCAGAGTACACAGGGAAGAGCATAAGAAAGTCTTCATTCAGGAGCGATGTTTAACTTGACCACTGAGGAGAGAACGAGAAAGAGCAGGCTAATGGGGACCCAGGCAGAGGCAACGTGAGCAAAAGCAGCAGCGGGTCGAGGGGCGTGGAGGTCTTGGAGGAAGGGGAGGGGAGGATGAGAAGCAGCCCATAGGCTGAGGAGGAGCAAGAGACGTGGAGATAGACTTCAGAGAGGTCCTCGCCTCTTGTCCTGACTCACACATCAAGGGGACTGAGGAAGTCATGGGTGAAACAAACAATGCCAGGCATTGGAAAGGATCTTAGGCATTGGACCCCCAAAGGGTTTTTCTTTTTGGTGACCTCCTGCAGGGTCTCTTTATGGCATTCCTCTTAAAGGCTTCACAAAGTACCTGTAAAACCCACCTGCCCAGGTGTGAGATGAACAGAACCCTTTCTTCTTGCGTGGTTTAAGTGAGAGACCAAGTACTGCAGTTTGATAGTGTCTTGGTCGCTTCAGTTACTCACCGAGCCTCGTCGAAGTGTATATAAGGACGGTTGATGAAGTCTGTGTGTTGGGTCACTCATGTTCCCTGTGGCGTCATAGAGACAAGCCAGGGTCACATGTTCTTGTTGTCCTGATGACCTCTTCCCACTCTTTGTGTATGACTCCCAACACCTCTAGGGGTTGAGACATTGTCATTTTCACTTGCACTGATTAATCCAACAACCAGTGCTCTAACCTTTAGTGAGTTGGAGAAGGAATCTCTGGCCAGACTGGCCCCTTCATTCATTAAGTAGTTTGGGTTTTTTTTTGTTTTTTTTTTTGTGGAACTGGGGATTGAACTCAGGCACTTGCGCTTTCAGGGAAGCACTTATTCCACCGAGCCATCTCCCCGTCCCCTCATTAAGTAGTTTTTGAATACCAGTTATGTGTCAGGGATTCCAATTCTGAGTATTGGGGGTAAAGTGGGGAACCAACTAGGTAGTAATTCCCACCCTGTGGGGCTTTTTTTTCCAACTTGGACAGGGAGATGGATCCAGAGAGACATGATAAAATAAAATAAAAATGTGAAATAAATGACACATTGAATGAAGCTAAGTGCTGTGGAGAATCATAAAAATCAGGACAGGAGCACAGGGAGTGCCAGGTCCTGTGCTTAAGGGTGCACACGTGGGTGTTCAGTTTCTAATGGCGTGCTCAGGGAGCGCCTGTTGAGAAGTGGCATTTGAGCAGACATCTGGAGGAGATAAAGGTTAGTCAAGTGTGTAGCGGCGGAGCGGGGGGTGGGTGCCAAGCTGGTGTGTCACAGCAGCTCCTGCAGCCCTGTGCCGGGGAGCTGGGTGTGCAGGAATGGTGGGAGAATGGCAGGAGAGCTGACGTGGGAGTTCGGCAAGGGCCGGAGATGGCATCCTTTAGCCTGAGGGAGGAGACGGGCAGCAGTGGGGTTGGGGAGGGTAAGCAGGTGAGCGGCACAGTGTGCCCGGGACAGGACTGCGGCGAGGGAGCAGCGCCCTTTGAGCCGTCAGGGTCTTCTGCACGCTTGCTTCATCCTTTCAGAAAAGTGCTTTTCTATGTATTTTTTGAAGTCAGGAATAGAAAAACCCCCAATATATTTTTCTTGGCCTTATGATTACTGCTATTAAATGGTATGTCATTTTAGAAAGTGCCATTCCAGTAAGGAAATGATCTATTTCCCCAGAAAAAAAGTCATGGAGATGATTACTACTTAAACATCATGTTCCTGAAGTGCACTGAGTTAAAACTCCCAGTTTCTCCCAGTGCCTCCGTATGTGTTTGTTTTTGAGTAGTTTAAAACACTCAGTTCCAGGAACATGCTGTTGGGTTATGATCTTCAATTCTGCCCGCTAGACACCAAAGATACTGTTACAGCACCTGTGCACAAGTAACAAGCACCTCATTTTTTGGTTTTTTTCCTTGAGAGCTTTTCAGAACTCATCAGAAACATTTGTCAGAAACACTTTGGAGAGATCAAAAGCTTGCTCTAGCAAAGTAGCCACAGGAATGGGTGAAGTTGAACTATTTTAAAAAATTGGCAGTATTTTATCAAAACGAGCCCAATGCTAGAGACTTTTTCAGAAGTGCAGCAACTCTGGTTGGGATTTAGAAGTTATTTACTGTTGTTTAAATCACAGGCTCACTGAGACTATTTTCTCTTCTAGTTTTAAACTCTTTGCTTTACAGTGTTTCCACCAGAGTCTTAGACACGCAAAAGACACTGTGATCAAATTTTTGCTTATTTCAAATCCAAGATGAATCACTAAGTCATTGGACAACTATTTCAGAATTCAAATTTAAAAGATCAACTCTAACTAAGATAAAATAAACATTTGCACTCTGGCTATTACAGTGAGGACACTCTGCCTCGGGAGAATAATTTGATTCCAGTGTATTTTGCATGTTTGTTCACGGAATTGCGTGTTACTAGGGCACATGTAGAGTCCTAAAGACATCCCTTAAGGGACACACACACGAGGAACTAGTAGGAGCAGAAGGGGCAGAATTAGGAGGTAGCAGGGGTAACCTCACTTACAAAGAATGCTTAAGGGACCGTTGCATTCTTTGCTGAGAAAAGAGAAACTGGGGGGAACTTGTAGTGTCCAAAGAAGAGAAATATAGTCAGAGAAGTTTTCAAGCCTGATTCTAACAGCATCCATAAAAATGACCAGCAACTTCAAAAACCGTTATTCTGAATAAGCAGATGGAGCCTGGGTTTTACTATATTGTTCTATTTGTTATATTTTAAAAAAACACTGCATTATGTCACTTCTATACATTTTGGTAGTAGAAATAGCACTTGAAGGACTGGGGAGATGGCTCAGTGGAATAAGCACTTCCCTGGCAAGCGCAAGGGCTTGAGTTCAATCCCCGGTTCCTCCCCCTTTCAAAAAAAAAAAAAAGAAAAGAAAGAAAGAAAAAAAAATAGCAGCTGAGCTTGGATGTTCTGGTTACCTGTCCAGTATTCTTTTCACTACAATGCTCAGTTGCTCCGTTTTGGCTTTGACTTACTTCTAGGACCCAATATTATTTTAGAAAAAAACCCCATCCTATCCACCCCAATTGGCCCTCTGATTGTTCGAGGATATACTTTTAAAGCAATTTTCAAAATTGGGATTTCTTTGCTAACAGTTCATTTAAATGTAAAACCACCAGTCACCAAGGTAGCAATTTTGTTGCTGTTGGTTGTAGGTGGAGAATGAATCAATTTTCTACGTTCATGACGACAGCGAGACGCTGCTTGACAATTTTACGGTCTTTGCCAATAGCTCAGAGCTGGGGAAACGAAGTCGGCCGCAAACTCTGTTTGTGACTGTTGAGTCTGTGAACGATGAAGCCCCAGTAATAACAGCCAATAACGTCCTCCAGGTGAGTGCTGTGTGCTGTGACTTAACAGGAGAATCTAGGGCTGCTAAATCGATTTTCATTTATATTTATTCTAATGTTAGATAATAAGACTGTGTATATGGTTAACGAAGTCCTACCATGCTATATACATACTAGTTACTATCAGGACATTCTGCGGCTACCTTGAGACGAAGATGAACAGCCCCAATCGGTCCCTTCCCTTTCCATTTCTCCGGTAGGCGGCGCTCTCACCCCTCCCAGGCCTGCTCTTTTCAGGGTGGCTTGGGCAGAGGTCTGAACAGGGAAGCTCTTGCTAGACTGCCAGTTTGATGGTTAAAGAGTGAGGTTTGCAGTAGATAAATCTGAGGGAGAGACTGGCTCCCCACCACTGCCCATGGACCTTGGCCATGCTATTTAGCCCCCAAATTTACTCTCCTTTAGGTGGGGAAGATGGAGAGAGAGTCATGAGAATGAAATAAGACGATGAAAGGAGGGGCCGGCGAGATAGCTCAGCAGCCTAAAGCGCCTGCTTAGGTAAGCGTAGGCAGGCTCGGGGGACTGCAGTTCGATCCCTGGCACCACGTGCCGTGCCAGCCCCCAGCCCTCAGGGTGGGCTGAACTGGCAAAAAAAAAAAAAAAAAGAAAAGAGAAGAGAAGGAAAAAGATGAAAGGTTGCACACAGTGTTTTACATGTGATTAACATGCTGAAACTCTGGCTAAAAAACGCCAGGTCATACCAGTTTTGAGGTAAAGTAAGGCTGATTTGGGTTAAAAATAAGGTTGAGGGTAAAAAGAGGCCACTGCCTAGCCACGAGGCAGGCTCTTCTGGTCTGGAGCTTTCATTCCCCTGCCCTCACTGAGGCTAGCTGGTGTCGCAGACCCACGCTTCCTGGCCAGTATGTATCCAGCATTTTGCTCTCCTCCTGCTTGGGAGATTACGCAGGGTTGGTGGCTGCTGAGTGGCTGGTGTTGGTAGCTCCTGGCCTTGGCTCCTGCTGTAGATGTTCTTCCTGCCTCCCTGTCAGTTTATACTCAGTTATCCTGAAGCTTTCATTTCATAAAATACCTTGGTGGTAACTCACTGTATCCTTCTTTGGGTCCCTTCATCTAAGGCCTCGGGCATGAACTCACAAGGCTGACGTTATAGTTTAGCCAAGAGTGGCCCTCAGCGGCCCTCAGTGGCCCTCAGCGGCCCTCAGCGGCCCTCAGTGGCCCTCAGCCTACCACACACCTGTTCTTCAGAGGGCTTTGCATGGCGAGCTCGGTGCCAGGGACCACAGCAGGGCTCTCTGTGGGGGAGAGGGAGGGAAGCAGATGGAAAGGGGGGCCACAGACCTGGTCAGATCGCACAACCCATGCCCGGAATGTTGGGTAACAAGTGCGAAGCAGACTCATAAAGTGACAAGTCCCAAAGGAAAAGCTCTTAATTTTTCACATAAAACGTCAGGAGTACATAACGAAGCAAACACTAAAAATTCTATTCCTAGAGCCGAGTACTTTGAGCAACAATAACAAAACTTTAAAAGCCTAGCTAGCAGCCCCTTGTGCTAGTTAAATTGCCCCCTTGTGGGCACCAGAGATGGCCCCACAATCATTTAACTGGCCCTCAGGTGTTTCGTAAGTTAAGGTCCAGGCTCACTGTTTTGTATTCCAGTGACGCCCTGTTCTCTTCACGTCCCTCCCGCCACCTCTTTGCCCATAACGCTCGTCAGACCCTGTCCTTCTGTATGTGAGCACCACCCGCAGAGGTGCCCTGTGCTGCATTCCTCTGGGGCTTGATGGTCTAGGTGTTTCTCACTAAGGAAGTGACGCAAGGCCTGGGGATGCAGGAGAACACATGCCTGGCACGTGTGAGGTCTCGGGTTCAAGCCTTAGCCCCACAGATTAGG